GCTGAAAGCTTATCCACATAACAGGAAATTGTCAAATAAGCAACGGAAATGGGCCGTCGCCTTCGAGTGATATCGACCTACGAATTTCTTCATACACTTTCATGTGAAAGTCACGATTATCGCTGGGATTCTGCCAAAGAACCAGCTTCAAAAAAACTGTAGACATGGGTTGTAAATTTCATCATATAGTATGCTACCATTAGGAGTGCAAATTTTGGGATCAAGATTTATTTCAAATCCATTCGAGTGTTGCAGCGAAACAAGTTGCATATTCTCACCTGTATTCCACTATAGGGGTTTAATGATGGCTCTGTAATAATTCTGTCTCACTCAACGCACGTGGAACTGAATGAAGTTGAACCTGAAGATTAGAATGAAATGCCGGAGAGGCATGAGCGCTATATCTGTCCCAGAAATGGTTAAGTGAACTGACAAATCTCCACATTAACGGTTTCACGGAAGTCTATACTTAAATGCCCCAAAGGAATGAAAGAATGGGACGGGTATGGAAGTTTAGAAGCCATTGATACGTAAAATAGAGGCATAAGCGAAATTCGTTAATTTGGAAGTCATTTTATGGGAAGCTGCATTTCACTTATTATATTTCCGGGGGCAGATATATTAATAAATCCACAAGTATATGTATACGGGGGTCCTAATGAAGGGGAAATAAATATGAGATCGATTATAGTTTGCCAGTTGGATAAGAAACGAGGCAGCAGCTGACAGAATTTGGATGAACCTGCTTGCTGAGTGAAATACCCTTGAGGACCAGTAAGACCTGTAAGCGAGATGCGAAACCGGTATCGACGGTTATTACGCCTCACTAAACCCACTTAAAAGCTAATATACTTTGGAAAAGGCTAGATATAATAAACAACTATCAAGTAGGGTGGGGGATGAGGACGCAGCTCTAGAAGCTAAAAGAGGTGCCAAAATCGATAGACATAAGGTTGCTCAAGATTTCTTTGTAAATGAACGGTTTAGAGTCTGCTGTTGGACATGTAACTGGGACTGTACAAAGTCAACGGTCTGATGATGGAAATTATATTGACTAGTATCACAAGATTCAGGGTCAGGTACGATCTTCAAGGTCTCTATCATCAAATTAATTGCGGGAACGAAATCAAATGAGTTCATTTACATATGTGAGTTATTGGGGCACAAGCGAATACCTAAGAAATCCATTCATTCGAGAAACCAGGTGTTGAGATGAGACAATTCGTTTCATTACTTTGAATTTATTCATTATACTGCTATTTACTCGTTCACTAATTTTATTTTCAGGTGCTATTAAATCCTGTAGGTGATTTTTATACCAACTTGGCGCAAACTTGTGTGGACGCAGGTTGTAGCGTCGACATTTTCCTTTTCCCTTCTTCATACGTCGATTTGGCTACAATTGCGGAAGTCCCAAAGATCACGGGTGGACACATTTTCAAATACACCTGTTTTCAGGTACTGTTTTAGTTTATATTATTAGGTTATCTTTTCTGTTAGCAGGTAGCAACTCAGTGGGCTTAAGATATTAAAGAGAAAACGACCTGGCCGTATAAACCAATTTCTCATAACCCTCCTCTGTTGGAAGCAACTTGACTACCGGCCTTGTATTACCTAAAGTGGGCCAGAGTAGCCTTTATTTTTTTATCGTAAACATAACTCAACTCTGATGCTTACTTAACTAACTTAATTTTACCCATAGATACGAAGAGTGGCTGTGTTTCGATGAATCTCGTGGAATAAAATTGTTGTGGGACCTTTTTTGTGTTAACGTGCATGATGAAGAGATTGTAGTCGACTTCATCAGAAGACGACTGATTCCCGATGTTCTGCTGCCGTTTGGCTTAAATACGACATTCATATTGACACAGACTACGAGACATTCTTATTTCGAGTGAAACTAACTTGAACTTTCGCCCATCGTATGACGGACATCAGAGTCGGAACTCATTCTTGACATCTTTTCAAGAATCATTTTCAGCTCTGGTGATTTTTGTTAACGGACACGCTGTTTTTCACCTGTACTGAATGATGTCAATGGGATAGTGTCTAACTAACAGCTGAGGTAAACCAAACCCAAAGCCAAGAGAGATTCGCCATTCTTTTTGGAAGAATATCTCCATCACTCGGATGATATGAGAGGGAAATAAATACCTAGTGTTAGATAAAAATCTATGCCACTATCATTGTGTAATCTAATTTAGGAAAAAAGATAGGTGGATTACTGAGGTGGGACTTTCTTAGGTGATAATATTCTAACCATCTCCAGATCGGACAGTTATAAGATTTGGTGCTCGTGTGGTAGCAGCTTTGGGAGAGACATGCATGCTAAGACAAGGGCTTATCTTGACACAAAACAGCCCTAGGGTTTGCGGGTCCAAATAGAAATTTTCTGATTGCCTGGTTCGCACAGCACCCCAAATAGACTGGTTTAATGTCAAACACTTGGCGGGATATAGGGACTATATCAGTAAACGAAAGATTAAGGCGATAGAAATCAGCAAAACAGCTGACACTGAATAGAGGGAATGAGTGTCGGAAATTAGCTGGAAGCTGCTTGTGACTGTTAGATAGGATTAAAAGGAGGCCACTGAGCAAGAGGCTTTTTAGGCTCGAATCTAGTTTTTACTCACATCTCACGCAACTCAAGTGCACTGCATTCACTCAGCACGCGTGCAACGGAACGCAATAACGTTGCGGGATCAAAAATACAAATGATTTAGGGGGAATGGAGCTATTCGACTACAATTACATCTGTTTCGCGTTTCATCTGCAGCCACTTCACTTTTCTATAGCATGTAGGAGAAGCCTAGAACATCCAACCGAATCATAAAATGCTCCACTAAATGGACCAAGTAGACATCGTCAAAGGCTCTAAAAAGTTGGAAAGATTGTAGCTAAGCACCTTGCCTTTGTGCTTGGTGAATTATCGCATAGTGTCTCGCTCTGACGACGTCCGTCACATGGCGAACGAAAGCTCAGTAAGGTTTCATCAAGGTCTTAGGGCGGTGTGCCGAGGACCTATTCGCACAAATCTACGGGCAATCCCCCTACAGCTTCCGGTGGGGTCGATTTACGAACCCCTTCCACTTGCCTCTTCAAACGAAATGAACTGTATTACAACATCAATCTATTATTTTTTTCGAAACCAAGTTTTTTCTACATATTATTCGGATATAGATGAAACTCTAAAAAGAGCTTGTCTTTGTCGACAGTCTTTTGATTGTTGGAATCTGCACCGAACAACGATTTGTCAGTTTCTCTTCCTATGAATTGGTTTACGATATTTTGCTAAAAGCGGTAAGTTATTATACTCCGATTTTTACATATCCTTTAGGCTGATCTTCATGGCGAACAATTTTTGTCTGACCTCAGTCGAGCTGTCGCGCGTCCGAGGGCCTTTGATGCCGTACTCCGTGTTCGAACAAGCACTGGAACACGACCTGTCGATTTTCTTGGCAGACACTTGATGCGTAACACAACAGATGTCGAACTTGCCTGCATCGATGACGAATCATGTCCTGTCACTGTGGAGATAAAGCATGATGACAAATTATCCGAAGGAGACATTGTTTATATTCAGGTTTGTCTTCTTTCAGATATATTTCTCCAGGATAAATGACTTCCTCTCTATAATGGCTTCTGCATACCAAATGAATTAACGTAATTTGTCCCAGCAATAAGATTTGCCCCGGCCGCATCTGCTTGGCAGACTATGTATCAGTGCTTTCCTTGGCTTCTCTCATGGAGTGTGTGTAATACTTCGGCGAAGCGCTTGAAAAAGTATCTGGCCAAATATGCGATTCTAAGAAAAGGCATGACTTCTGGAAAAGGATGTATTATCAGGTAAGTTGATCTAAGTCTTCCAGTAAGTAGGACAAAGTTGTGAAAACAAAGTCGAAGTGAATGTTCTATAGAGAACTCAGACAGCTTCTTGTTACATCCATCGGCCTGATTCTTCCGCAAGCTATAGTTATACATAATTCGATGTTTCTATTAGTCCATTTACATACCTCGTTTTTTAAATCTTGATAAGGATTTATTGTTATTAAATTCGTTCTTCCTTTTTTTAAATGAATCATTGGATTTGGTGTTTTTTCGTTACCACCACTAAATAACGACTAGATCTTAAAATTCAGTCTTAGATATGAACACCAAGATGTGTGTTGTGTCTTGGTTAGTCTCATTTCGATGTATGAAAACGGTCTAGCCTCGTTTTCGCAACTCGGTACTATTTTCAGAAGGACCCAGCAGGACGCATCTTATCCCAAGTCCTCTCGTTTAGTAGTTATCTCAGTTCCCCGTGTCGGATGATGGACTTAGTACACTCCCAGAGGTGACGCGGCATCATTAAAGATTTTAGCCACACTTAGCGCCAAGCTACGACTCATGTAAAGGAAAAATGATTTCAATCCCCTGACCAGCCGAGCGCTTGTGTCATCAACCTTGTCCCGGTACGTCTGGATACTCCTTATCCTTGTATCTCACTCCCTATCACAACTTCTGACTTGTTTATATAGAGATATGTTTAGTTTTGCGTCATCACTTAGTGTTTAGCTTCCCCCTCCCCCGATTTGCTGATCGGACTCAGACTTCTTTTATTAATCTCTTTTACGGCTCTGAAGATTCGTTTCTTATCTAACTTGTTAACTGATTTCATTCGGCTCCAGTCACAGTGTAAATTTTATTCGAGCCGCTATTTCTCATGGTCTGCCACAAGTCTTTACTAGCACTTATACTGTGGCCCCATCTAGCAGAGTGCCTACTTTCTAATTCGCAAGCTTGCAGATATCAGACATTATCTTCACATGTACCTTGACCAGACTTTTATCTCTAATCTTCTGCATTTCGGGTAGATTTCTACTCACTTGGCTACGATGTACTGATCTTAATGCGGAATTCCTTTGACGGTTGTGACTATCCCTCTATGTTCCTGTAAAGGCCATGCCCCAATGTCGCAGTTGTTTTTTGCTACGAAGAATAAATGGGTTTCGATTAGTCTCTTGAGACAAAATAGTTGGGGAGACTTTCACTTTGTAAAAATGGACGAAGAAGAGATTCGAAGGTCGATCTCACCAGAAACTGACGGCGAATTCCTCTTACCAGCTGTCAATTGGCTTTACTGGAACATTCATGTTGACGCAATTTTCGAGGTAACCTTCTATTCTAGTGAAAAGGTGCCAAGCTTTCGTCCGTCATGACGAACATCAGCAGAGCAAGGTATCGTTGTCACAACAAATTCAAGCTAACGAGTCAAGAAAACTCGCCGGCACATCCCCAAAAGCTGTATACATACACTGTATCTGGCCTCCTTAATGAAGCATAAAATGATTTGATTGGTTCCAGTCATATGTTAACCTTGAAGGATGTGACTGCGTGTGTTCGCCTATACAGGAAGCTAGCAATGATGACTTAAAATAATTGGGACAACAACGTCAGTTCTCGACCATCTCTCCCTTACTACATATATGCTGTAGGCATCATTGCGATTGCGCAAGGTTGGACACACGTATGTTGATGAGCTATTTTCGAAGAACAAGATAGTGTAGCATTTCGTATGGTCGCAGTCTCCTTTCGTAGTATAGAAGTTGTTTTCGCAACTTTGTCCTAAAGACCTAGAGGAACGCGCCTAGGTCGGAGTCCATAGTGTGCATGATAATTTGTAGAGTCTGACCGTGGATGTGGATTATCCCCCAGATGTTTTGCCGCCATCGTCACGCCTTTACCACTCTTAGCATCACACTACAACTCGTCAAAGAGAAAAGTGGAGTCGATCCTTTGACTGATTGTCTGCTAAAGAGTTGTGGTATCTCCCCTGCCCTGGGCTATTCATCAATCCTATCTCTTCATATCATCCCTTCACTATCATAATTTTTTATTCAAACGTAACATGGCGTGCCCTTTTTTCGCGGATTACATGAGAAATCCCCAAACCCCACGCTAGTTTTCTCACCCCGCAATCATATTCTCATAGGTCTTATCAGTCTCCCTCTTAACTCAACCGCTGCCACCCTATCTGTACTACTCAAAGCATTATTTCCCACATTGTCTCATGCCTTTGATTAAACGCATACTCCCGCCTCGCTGAGTAGGCCCCTACAAATCCAGATTCGCAGGCTGGATAGGAGACTAACTTGAGGCTAAAGAGCCCGAATAATTCTCATGATCAAGTCTTTGCTTCATGAACGACCTATATGCTCAAAGACGTCTACTGAGGGTGTTGATAAGACCAATGCGAGGTCGAAACTGCAGTCCAGCTTGGATGAGAACAACTTTGGGAAAGCAAGGCTATGTGAAATTCAATGAACACGTCAGCTCAACTCATATCATTGTGGGAAAATTCTACTACCA